TGTGTTTCAAGTGAACAAGATTTATTATTTTTATTGAAAAATAAGAATTCTAATATCTGTACCTTTACCTCATTAAAACAATATTCTACCTTTTTTTGTTTGAGACATGATCCCACTGAATAGCTCTGGCCATCCTGGAACTCACCTATGTAGATCAGGCTGGCCTCACACTCAGAGATCCACTTATCTGCCCAGTGCTGAGATCACAGGTGTGCAGCATCATGCCCGGTGGCTCGTCCTACTTTTGCATTTCCTCAAGGAAGAACAAAAATACCCCAGGAGCTTCCTGATAATGGAACATATAGTCAGTCTGAGAAGGGAGCTCCTAGAAAGGGCATGGGAGCACTGCTTTTTTTGTAGCCTTTGTATCTGTTCATTTTGTTCTTCATCATCATCATTACAGTGAACCTGTAAGTGTAAAAAGAAGAAAGTTCTATTTCCCAGCACACTCATATACCATTTATATATTCCTTTACCACAGAACTTGGTTGTGATGGCTTTTGCATAGAAAATGGCATTGCTAATGGCCCAATATGGTCAAAAAGACATGTCATTAGTACTCCTACGGCACATTGTTTTTACTTACGTGCCTAGGTGTTTTGTCTTGCACCACATGTGTACCGTGACTGTAGAGGCCAGAAGAGGACATTCTGGGACTGGAGTTACAAGTGGTTGTGAGTTGTCATGTGGGTGCTGAGACTCAAACCAGTGCTTTTGTTTTATGCTGTTTCTTTAATGTGTGTTTTGACTTTATGTGTGTATGTGCACCATTGGCATGTCTGGTGTCCTCATCGAATCCCCTGAAATTGGAATTATATATGGTTGTGAGCCACCATGTGGATGCTGGGAGTTGAACCCAGGTTCTCTGCAAGAACAAGTGTTCTTAACCTGTGAGCCATCTCTCAGTCTCTTCTGCTTTAACTTAGAGCAATAGATCTTCTCTAGGCAGTTCAGCATAGTAATATAGTTAGTAAAGTTGTAATCAGTGGTGTAGTTTGGGTCTTAAATATCCCCCAAAGACCCATATGGTGAAGACTTGGTTCTTTGTCTTTGACCCTGTTAGGTGGTAGGACCCCAGTGGAAGGACTTTAGATTTTTCGGGGTGCTCCCTTGAGGGGGGAATATTGGATTCCTGGCCACTTCCTGCCTTTCTCTGTGCTTCCTGGCTACATAGTCCCCCCCATGCTGCACCCCACCTCACCAATGGTCTAAGCATCAACACAGCCAAGTAACTGCTATGAAATTATAATTGTTAGAGGTTTTTTTTTTTTTTCCTTGAGAAAGTATAAAAATAGGGTGAGCCGCTGGGCATGGTGTTATACACTGGGCAGTGAGGGAGGTCTGACACAAGCGTATGCTGGAGAACTTAATATACACTGTAAGGTGTAAACTGAGTCAGGCTCGCACACCGACTGAATGCCATTGTGGCTAAAATAATGGTGCTGAAAGTATCTAGTTAACAAGTGGTCAGATGGCAGGTGTGGCCTCTCCAGGGAAGTGACAAGAGGATCATTTCAAAAGCACGAGAAAGCTGGGCATGGTGACACACATGCTTAACCCCAACACGACTGTGATTTTAAGACCACCCTGGTTCACAGAGTAAGTAAGGGTGTTGAGACAACCAGGGCTAATTGGAAAGACCCTGTCTCAGCCTCCCTTCCTCCTAACAAAGACAAGAAACCACAGGAGGTGAGCCAGCGATATGGCTTATCAGTGGATCCAGGTTTGATTCCCAGGATCCACGTGGTGACTTCCAGCTACCCATACCTCAGTTCCAGAGGATATTATGCCTTCTTCTAATGCCCGTAAGGACCAGGCATATAGGTTGTACAAATATATGCATTTGGGTCAAACATTTGTACTCGGAAAATAAAATAAATATGAAAGGAAACGTGAGTTGGAGGTCAACTAGGCTACATAGTGAAACCATGTCTCGGGAAAATAGCATCAAACACATGACACAGCCAGGTGTGCACCCGTAATTCCAGCACTCAGGAGACAGAGGCAGGAGAGTTACCCATTAGTTTGAGGCCAGCCTGCTTGCTGCTACTTTTTTCTTTTTAAAACTATTAATTTTATGAATGAGTGCGCTGCATGTGCACCTGCATGCTGGAAGAAGGCATCAGATCCTGTTGTAGATGGTCGTGAGCCACCATGGTAGGTGCTGGGAATTGAACCCAGGACCTCTGGAAGAGCAACCAGTGCTCTCAACCACCGAGCCCTCTCTCCAGCCCCTGCTGCTGCTTTTTACACTTTCTGTTCTTTATCCTCCTCTCTCTCCAGGGGCTAGTGGGAAAGGATGTGTATGTGCTTCTGGGGATCAAACTCAGGTCCCTGAGCATGCAAGACAATCACTTTACCAAGCTACTACCCAGACCCTAGTTTTCATTGTATTATCTCATCAAAGTTATTTTCTGGGGCTTTTGTTCGGGTATTCTGCTGACACTTCAGGATATAGAGCAGCTGTGATTTTTCACCCTGTTGCTCCTAGTTCTTCTAACTCAGTTATCAGTCTCTTTTTTTTTGAGACAGGATTTTTCTGTAGCTTTGGAGCCTGCCCTGGAACTAGCTGAACTAGCCAGCCTGAATCAGGCTGGCTTCAAACTCACAGAGATCCGCCTGCCTCTGCCTCCCGAGTGCTGGGATTAAAGGTGTGCGCCACCACTGCCCAGCCTTCAGTTATCAGTCTGTTATGTGGAACAAATAAAAAGGTGTCAGAAATCTAAGATGAGCCTGGTAGTTCACTTGGCAGACTGAGGTAGGAAAATCACAAATTCAAGCCTGCTAGGGATGCAGGGTGAGTTTATGGCGTCCAGAGACCCTGTCTCAAGCTGTGAAGAGGACTGTGGACTAACACAGCAGAGCCTTCAGATAAGGGGAATTTCTTGTAACAATTCAGTGCTATTTTTCTTCTTGACACCATGTCTGAATCATTCAAACCCCTTTCTGCAGCTGGGTGGCATGGTGCATACTGGTAATTCAGCATTCCGGAAGATGAGGTGGAAGGGTCAGGAGTTCATGGATAGCCCAGCTATATAGTGAAGTTCTGCCCTACCAAAGAAAGAACAAGAAAGGAATGTTGACATCAGAACTGAAAATACTTAAATTGTGTATTTAACTGAAAATACTTAAATTGCCGGGTGGTGGTGATGCACGCGCACACACACACACACACACACACACACACACACTGCCTTCAGTGACTCGTGACAGAGGCATCTTGTAGGGAGTTCAGGTGATGTTGGGAAAACATGACCTACATGCAAAAGGACATTGAACTGGAGAATGTGAAAGTGGTTCAGTGTTAACTCATGGGGCATGTGCTCAACACCCTGTGCTTGATGCCCAGCAGCACACCCTCAGAGTGAAGCTAGACTCCTACTGTATACCATATCTAGTGTCGACCCCAAATAGAGAGCCTCCCCAAAAAACAAAGCATGAACTAAAATTATAAAAAATTTAGAATAAAACATAGGGGGAAGACTTTGTAACATTATACCTGACAATGATTTCTTGAGTATAAACTCCATACTCAGGAAGTGAAAGAAAACTGTGACTTGTTCTGCATCCTAATATAAAACTTGCACATTAGAAGACGTTGCAGCAATAAGGCAAGCGTAAGAACAGAAGAAACCACTTACATGTAGAAAAAGTGTAGTCTCGAGTGCACAAAGAACTTCACAGTCAGGCCACAAAGCCCACAAGCTCCCCGGTTTAACACGACTACAGGGCTTACATATACGGTTTCTGAAGAAAATGTGTAAATGGCCAAGCACATCGTGGCGTGGTGACTCAAATGGAAGCCAAGGCACGAAAAATGTCCTGAGTTTGAGGCCAATCTGGTCTACAGAGTGAGATTCTGCCTCAAAACACCAACCACAAAGGCACAGAGTTCTATCTTAGTTCATAGCCTTTAGTCTGACTGCTAAAAACAAGAAGTAATGAATGCTAACAAAGATAGGCAGTGGCCATTTCTGTTCTGGTGTTTAAAATGGTGCAGCTGATAGATAACAGAATTTGACTCTTAGGTATATATCTGAAACATTTGAAATCGGGGACTCAAATGGGTATTTGTGTTCATGGGAACAGAATTCATAGTAACAGTTGGGAAAGTAACACTAGTATCTGTGAATGAATGTATAGAACACAGTATTTATATATAATGAACTAGTATTTAACCTTACAAAGGAAATAATAGCAAGTACTTTACCCAGAGCTGCAAGTACTTTGCCAAGAGCTGCAAGGGAGATAGATAATAGACACTTACTGTCTAATAAAAAGTTTCTCTTTTGACAAGATAAAGTGACAGATTGCATAGTAAGGGCCAATGCTTAATGCTCCTGAACTATACACTTTGTATAATTAGGTCGGAGCTGGCCCACAACTGCTATGTCTTTCATTGTGGGCAGTTATTTTATTTGTTTGAAAGAACTGCTTCTGGCTGATGGAGGTGTTCATGTATATATGAACTTCAGTGTTATCATTACAGGCTAAATCCATGAGAAATTTCTCCATTTTTTTTTTCAAGACAGGGTTTCTCTATAACAGCCCTGGCCATCCTTGGAGCTAGCTCTGTAAACCAGGTTGGCCTTGAACTCTGCCTGCCTCTGCATTCTGAGTGCTGGGATTAAAAGCAGGTGCCACCACTGCCCAGCTCCAGGAGAAATTTCCTAAACAACTGTTTGGGCATGGAAAGATGACTAGCAAGGTGTGGGCGGAGACAAAGAGTATACTAGAGGGATGACTATAAGCAGTATGCAGTGATATACATAAGTTATAATGAACCCTATTAAAGTTTTTAAACACTAAAACTTTTTATTTAAAAAACTATAGATAATGTGTTTGCACACCTGTAAGCCTAGCCCTCCAGAGGCTGAGGCAAGAGGATCAGGAGTTCAAGGTCATCCTGATCAACACCACTGGGGGTGGGCAGGAAAGAATGTGAGACAGAGTGTAAGAGTGAGAGAACTGATAGTTTGTTGCCTCTGTTTTCTTCTTAGGATTTTTTCTTTCCTGGATGTTGTTACCTTGTGTCGCTGTGCTCAGGTCTCCAGGGTAAGATGGCTGACTCTGTTAGAGGGACCTTTTCTGGCTCCGAGGCTGATAGCTTCTGGAGCTGACTGGTATTTTAGGTGTTATTTGTATATTTTACAGAAGATACTATTTTACTCCAAGTAAGCCATCTATCCCATATGGTTCTATGATGGATTCTGTTTTATGTATTGTTCCTAACATTTATATATTATAAACATGGAAAACATTGACTCAGCTAATGATAACAAAACTTGATTCAACAAAATGTAGCAAAATTGTATTTTCCTGTTTTTATAGTTCTTTTTACAATGTCACATAGACATGCATACGGGTGTATTAGACTCTTATTATCTCCACATAGTCTTTCCTTCAAACATGACAGGAGAGGAGGCAAAAGCTGCAGAGTAGACCAGCATTCTTGAAGATCCCATAAAGTATTGTTTCTGTGTTAGGTGGGTGCAGGGTCTCATCAACCACCAGTGTAACTCCTGCTGCCACTGTATACGGAAATCAAACCTTAGTGTGGAAATTTCCCCTTTATGGTAATTTAAAGTAATTTCTCCATCCTGATAGCCATACTTATTTGCATACCATTTTGGAAATCATCAGCAGTGTTGTGCTTCTTCATGCTGTACGGTCTGCAAGTGCAAGCATTGTTCTTACAGTGAGCAATTTCTCTTCCTGACTCCATGTGAGCTGAAGTCATCATCCAGAGTGCTCACAAGAGAGTTTTAACTGGTTTTCTTTTAAGGAAAGAAGGGAACTGCGCCAAATGTCTTTAAGTCTGGACGGTTGGTGCATTTGTACCTGTTGCTCTCGGTAGTTAGGAATTGTTTTGGGGGTGGGCATATGCTCTTGAAGTGCTGGGGATTGTGTCTAGTGCCTGGCGTACACTGGACCAGGCCTAACACCGAGCCGTGCTGCCAACACTTTGAGGGGTTTTTGTTTTGTTTTTTAATGCAGACTCTAGGGAGGAACCTGTCATTCCTAATTTTAGGCTGAGTTCTCCATGCTTCCTGCTCCCTGAAGAACCTGGCAAGGACTAGCACACAATCCGAGATATATTTAGTCCGAGAATCTCTTAAACATGTGGTTTTTAAGAGTTTTATTTGTTTCTTCTGTAGCTAACTGTTTAAAAGAAAGAACAAAACAAAACAAACAAACAAACCACTGGAAAAATTTGAAGCCACAAAGAGAGAAGTGACGTTGGCCATGTGAGAACCTGACCTAGTTTTAGAATAACTTCTTGCTTACTGCCACACCCCAACATGTTTCTAATGACCTTATGGTAGTTACCCTTGGTTTCTCAGAATATCTAGAATTCGGTTTTGAAAATTTTAAAAGTGAGACCTGGTGGCCCAAGCTCTTAACCACGACACTTAGGAGGCAGAGTTCAAGGTCACCCAGGGCTACACAGAGAGACCTGATATCAAAAACAAAAAAACAACAACAAAAAAAAACAAACCAAAACAACAACAACCAAAAAAAACTGTGTCTGAGAAAAATGGCTCTGAATATAACCTACATTAAATTGCTTCTTAAATTTGTTTGTAATAAAGAATATTCCTAGGGGGCTGGAGAGATGGCTCAGAGGTTAAGAGCATTGCCTGCTCTTCCAAAGGTCCTGAGTTCAATTCCCGGCAACCACATGGTGTCTCACAACCATCTGTAATGAGGTCTGGTGCCCTCTTCTGGTCTGCAGGCATACACACAGACAGAATATTGTATACATAATAAATAAATAAATATTTAAGAAGAATATTCTAAAGCTGGGTGATGGTGCCACATGCCTTTAATCCTAGCAAATGAGAGGCAGAGGCAGGTGGGTCTCTCTGAATTCAAGGCTAGCCCAGTTTACAGAGTGTGAGTTCTAGGATGCCCAGAGTTATACAGAGAAACCCTGTTTCAAAAAAAAAAGAAAAGAAAAAAAGAATAGAAAGGAAGGATACTCTAGAGCTGGCTATAGTGTCTCATACCTTTATCCCTGATGTTTGAGTATCTTGGATTTGAGGACACCCCTGGGCTGCATAGTGAGACCTTGTCTCAGACACACACACACACACACACACACACACACACACACACGACTGCACATTTATTGTTCTGAGCAGTACTTGACTTTTGTTATTTAATTAGGGAAGCTTTTAAAGTTTTTAAAATACCAAGTGATCCACAACAAATTATCTCTTACTGAAATCATTTCTCACCCAATCATGAATGCTGAAAAGATTAACAAATGTTCTTGCTGCCTCCAGTGTACGGAATGACTAAACAGTTTGCAGTATTAAAGTTACCCCCGAGTCCAGGGCCTGGCTTCCTAGGGCTGAGGAGGCCAAAGCAGGATGCAGCTCAGTAGTAGATGCTTGCCTAGCATGTACAAGGCCCGGGGTTATGGATCCCCAGCATGACAAGCAATAAAACAAAGCTGTCGCTGAGTCAAGTCGAACAGAACATTGATTAATTATAAAGCATACCTGAGTGAGATAATAAGGAAAACACAATTAGCGAGAAAGACCGTGTACCAGGCTCACTGCCACTACCCAGCACCGACCACCGTGCTGCAAGTGCTCGGAGATGTTATTGGTAGGGACTGAGGGAGGTTTTGGTGAGTCTCAATTGCTTGTTAGTTGAAGTGTGAATTTAAACATTCCCGGTTTTCTGTTTTCATTTCAACCTCTGCTCATTCTTTCTCTTTTTATTCAAATTAGGCCTGGAATGTCCTAGCTCTGGATGGCAGTAACTGGCAACGAATTGACCTGTTTGATTTCCAGAGGGATATTGAGGTATAATTACGTGGTGTGTGGCCCCATTTATTTCATTAGTAGTTACAGTATTAATCCTAGACATATTAATCTTTTTTTTCACTGAAGAAATTATTTTTGGTACAACTGAACTTCACGAAAGCAAAGCCTCCAATGTCCTCAGGATTTTCTGAAGTGGACATGGTGACACAGTCAGGCGGATCAGGATGGGTCGGCGGCCGTTCCGGCTGCACAGTGAGGCTGTGGCTCCAGACAAGCAATAGCTTGTTTGGGAAGAGAGTACAAGGATTCAAACCTAGGGCCTCGTGCATGATGGGCCACACTTTTCCCACTGACTCATTTTTCTGCCCCTAATTTTCTTCAGTTTTTAAGACTAAATGGAATTATTTCCTTGATACAATGCTAAGTTCTTTAATAACTTTAGTCCTGAACTGAGACCACCGGTTTTATTTTGTAGTTTTTGTGTTTGCTTATGTAAAGGAAGTTATTTTATTTTAATTTTATACAGTCAGGAGGCTTAAACGTGCTGGATGATACTTGTCTTTATTCTTCATGTGTATTTTGATTCTTAGGGGAACAAAAGTGGAAATAGTTTCTATGAAAAATATAGAATGGTTAAAACTAGAATTATTAAATTGTTTTTAACTAATGAGAGGTGATTTTCTTGCATGTGGGTTTACACTTTTTCATTTAATTTTTTAGTGTAGCCTGTTAGCTCTAAATAGAAAAGTGTTACAGCACCCAGGCAAGCACAGCCTATAATCCGAGCACTTTAGACAGAGCCCAGAAGAGCTGAAAGACATTCCAGGTCAGGGTGGGAGAGGGAGGACCTGAGTCAGATTCCCACCACAGTGAGGAGTGGAGTACACCTGTAACTCCAGACGAAGACAGCTGCATCCTGGGAACTTGCTGGCTAGCCACTCTACTATAGTGGAAACTCCAGGTTCAGGAGAAGCCCTAGTTCAAAAAATAAAATGAAGAAACAGTTAGACACCTCAGCCTGCACAGGCAAGAAGTCCTGTTTACATACGCACAAACCACACAAAGTTCAAGTCCATCCTCAGCTGCGTAGTAGTCATACATACTAGCCTTGATTACAGGAGATGTGCTCAAAATCAACAACAAAAATAGGGCTGAAAAGATGAGGCACAAAATAATCCCACACTAGTTCAGAATTATGAATAATAAAGGGTTATTTATTTAGGGGAGATTTAAAGATCACTGTCCTAGATAACAGTCCTCTGCACGAACAGGGAACAGTAACAGCCGGAAGTGAGAGCCAGAAGCAAGAGAGTGAGCACAGGCTTTACAGCTGCATTTATAGCATAAGAGACCACGCCCAAGTGGGCTCCCACAGCAATGGCTCATCAGATAAGAGCACTGGCTGCTCGTCTAGAGGACCCTCAGCACCCACATGGCATAGCTCACAACCCTCTTTAACCCGGTTCAGGCAATCAGTCTCCCTCTTCTGGCCTCCACAGGCACTACACTGCACACGTGATATACTGCATATGTGCAATGCACAGGCATCCATGCAACCAGAATCCACGCACATAAAATTTAAAACAAACAAACCAACCCGCTAACATTATAGTGCATTTACACCACAATTCTCTGATCTTGTGGATATATATGCTTTAAAAACCTGACCCACAGAATCATTCAGCAAGATGGTTCCTGCTCACTGAGCTTTTGCTATGTGCAAAACTTTATGGTGAGTCCTTGTAGAGGACAGAGAAGTAAGTGTGAAGGGTAACCTCCTCCAATTCTGTGTTTACCTCAAGTGAGCCACATACGTGCAGCTAGAGCTCCGCAAGAACTGGATGGCACCGGTCCTCGAGTACAGGCTATCCTAGTTGAACAAAGAAAGAATATAGACTTTGGTTGTGTTTTGATGGATTAATCAGGAAGACTTTCTCAGAATAAGTTGAAATTTTCATAGGAAGAAATTTCTAACAAGCCTTTTCTGTTTATAAATCATTTAAAAAAAAGAAGATGTGTTCTTGTCCAGAGAAGTAACATAGGCCATCTTTTTGCTTAACTGTCTCTTTATAGGGTCGGGTAGTAGAAAATATTTCAAAACGATGTGGAGGCTTTTTACGAAAGTTAAGTCTTCGTGGGTGTCTTGGAGTAGGAGATAATGCATTAAGGTAAGAAAATATAACTGTTTCAAAAATAACTTTGAACCTCTTTGATTGAAATGAAGACAGCACCATCTCACTCAGAAAGGCTAAAGTAGCTTTTAAGTTTCTAAGCTGTTAAAAATGCAAGCATACACATTGGTTATAACAAAATATCTAATAGGAAGTGAGGACCCAGGTGTAGTAGCATACTCTAGGGTTAGCATGTTCGGGAAGGAGACTCTGAGTTTGAGTCAGCCTGTGCTACACAGCAGGTAGAATAGAAAAACTCTCTACATTAAAACAGTTCTTTGGGGGCCTTAAGTAAGTCGTTTTTGGGGGCTTTTGTTAACTCAAAGATCAACCTTTAATCCCAGAAATTGAGAGGTTAAGGCAGAAGGATTATAAGTTCAAGGTCAACCAGGGCTATGCAGTGAGACCCTTCTGAGAATACTAAAAGAAACATTTACAGCTTTAAAGAGCATTTTGTTGTGGGAAATTAATTTTCTTTGCACCCTGTTGAACTCTTATTCACACCCCACACAACAAATGTAGTTTGTTTTTCCTCTGCCCAGCATCCAGTTCGTTGATTTTGCAGATACTGGATGTTTCCATTCAGCATGGACACTAACTGTCCAGTTAGATCGGCCCCAGTCGGAAGTCACACGCGTGTTACTGTGTACAAATCAGGTGTTTATGGCGCATCTCACATTTGCTACTTTGCTAGCATGAGTAACATAATCGAGGAACATTAGGTTCGATTAGGTTTCATTATAAAGTGCATGAATGAGTAGCCATAGGAAGTACTACACAGGGCAAAGTTTAGAAGGGACAAAACCACAGGAGCATCTGTTGTTCTGGAGTTGGGACCCTCTCAGCACAGCCACCCAGAAGTTCTGGTTCCATTTTGAGTGGTTTTATGGAGGTGTATTACAAAGACATAAATACCAAATGTGAGAACAAGTGCTACTTCTCTGACCTGTCACTCAGGAAATTGCAAGGGGCTTAAGACCTTTATCCTAGAAGCTAAGAGTGAAAACCAAGTGTGTATTTTGCATATTACAGCATTATAGGTGCCAACAACCAGCATTACCAGTGGTGGTGCCTTTTTTGCATCTAGAATTTTGCCAAGCTTATTTATAACCTTTTACTTTTCTTTCCCTATAAAGGACTTTTGCCCAAAATTGTAGGAATATTGAAGTGCTGAATCTAAATGGGTGTACAAAGACAACAGACGCGTAAGTATTGAGTTTTCAGAGGACGCACCATAGTCCGTAGTTTGTCCTACTCTAGCTGTATGTAGGTGTTGATTCGTTTTCTTGACTGTGAATGAGTTTTTGTTGGACTTATGATGCTAGGGATGAACCCAGGACCTTACAGTGTACCTCTAAGCCATGTCCCTAGTCCGAAGACTCTTAAAAAGAAAAAGTGATTGAAAGTAGAAGTTACTGAGTTCCCATTCAAAATGTACTCCTGCAAAGATGAAACTTTGAAGCTACTTGAATGAGAGAAGTAGACGCCTAGAGCACAGAACGTATGTTTTATGTTTTAGTCTTCTTCTCTGAGGTCACACTGTTGCTTCTTTTACTATAAGAAGTGGGCTGAGGACTTGGGTAACAGCTCACGCCTCTAATCCCAGCCCATGGGAGACTGAAGCAGGAGGACTAGTTTGAAGCTGAGGCCAGTGAGGCTCCCATGAGACCCTGTATCAGAAACATGAAAAAAGGGCTGGAGAGATGGTTCAGAGGTTAAGAGCATTGCCTGCTCTTCCAGAGGTCCTGAGTTCAATTCCCAGCAATCACACTGTGGCTCACAACCATCTGTAATGAGATCTGGTGCCCTCTTCTGGCCTGTAGGCATGCATGTAAGCAGAACACTGTATACACAATAAATCTTTTAAAAAAATCATGAAAAAGACTGAGATGTAAGAACACTTACCTAGAATATGTGCGGCCTTGAGTTTGATCTCCAGTACCACCAAAAACAGAGAAAAAATTACAAAGCTCTGCGGTGGATTATATGCTACATGCCTCAGGCCTTGGGTTTGTTCCCTAGCACTGAGTTTTATTATGTTCTTCTGCCTGCATATATGCTTGCACTCCAGAAGAGGGTACCAGATCTCATTACAGATGGCTGTGAGCCTCCGTGTGGTTGCTGGGAATTAAACTCAGGACCTCTTTGAACGGCAGCCAGTGCTCTTAACCTCTGAACCTTCTCTCCAGCCCCATTAAGGTTTATTTTTATTGGTGTGTTTATATATGTACATGCTGTAACCCAGGATTTGGGAGGCAGAGTCAGGAGAATCTCCAGTTTAAGGTCAGCCTATGAAACCCTGTCTCAAAAACAAATGCATGCTAGAAAAAAGTTACGTGTGTCTATAACCCCAGTGTTTGGTGTTTGGGAGATAGAAAGTGAATCATGAGTTCAAGACCAGCCTCTGCTACATAGTGAGTTCCAGGCCAGCCTGAACTATATGAGATTTGTTTCAAGCAAAACAAAAATGGGGTAGAGGAGGAATAGGTCTCATAGCAGCCCCTAGAAACTGAAAGCAAGTAAGCACTCAAACTCAAGTTGAATTCTAACCCATGTTGGTAAATAAATTACGTCTACTGACTTCGTTCAGTGCAAGAGGAGAGCCCATGGCCCAGCTTCACTTGTTAACATTTGTGGACATTCTTATCCATCGACCCCTCTTACTGATTTATCCTCTATGATTTGTCATTATTTGAAAGAAAAAAGTCCTAGATATGGCATTTTATCTATGAATATTAGTACTGAACATCAAACCCAAAGCCTTCTACATGTTAAACAAACTACCATTTAACTAAAACCCTGACTTCGAGTCTGTGAAATTCTTGCCTGGGGCTCCTGGCCCACCAACTCTGAGAGAAGCTCTAAATAATCTCAAACAAGGTAGATTATAAAAATCGACAGGTTGGGGTTACTGTGTGGGTGGGCTTACTTCATTTATCCATTAAATGACACTAAGGAGAGCTGGGCTCTTAGCTGAAGCTATGGCTGAGTAAGGGCTGAGTAGAAACACCAGCAGCCTCAAGGGTCTGGATGAGACAGACTTCCATTAGAGTCTGTAGACCATACTGAACAAATAAATAGCAAACCTCCCTCACAAAAATTAGAATTCAGTCAGGAGACAGAAATTAGTTAAAAAGGATGTGCTAGAATCCCAGGACTTTGGGAAGTAGAGGTGAGAGGTTCCGGAGGTTAAGGCCAGGCTAGACCACTTTGATCATTTATCAAAAGAAAGGACTTGGTGTGCAGCTCGTCCTGGAGTGGCCACCATGTCCGAGTCCTTGGGTCCAATCTCTGGCAACACACATAGAAAAAAAAATGAAAAAAAAATCTAAATATGGATGGCTAGGCATGGTCATTAGTGCTTTAATCCCAGCACTCAGAGGCAGAAGCAAGCAGGTCTCTGTGCTGGAGGCTAGCCTGATCTGCATAGCAAGATCTAACACCTGAAGGGCTACATAGTAAGGCCCTGTCCCTCCAAAAATAAACATAAACAAAAGAATGGAAACTATTGTCTCTGTGTACAGAATATTCTACCCAGTAATTGGAGAATACACATGGTTTTCTGTCACACTTAGAGCATAGTCCTGAGTAGACTATAGTCTGGTGACTAAACAAGATTAATAAGTAACAGTGTTCTCTCTCCACAACTAGAGGGCTAAACTAGAGATCTTCAACAGAGGAAAAAATTCTCAAGTCTTTTGAGTAGAATGGAAGTAAGTAGCCAGGCATAAAGATTCCTTACCTATTGTCTTTGCACTTGGGAGGCCGAGGCAAGAATATTTCCCTGAGTTTCAGACCAGCTTTGGGTATAGTGATTACCCAGCTTGTGTAAGTTCATGAAACTATCTCAAAATAGAAAAATTAAATGTAACTTCACATATCATAAAAGCGTCATTTTCTTTTAACAAAATAAGTATAAAAATATAAAAACCAAGCCCATTGTCTTTAATTCCAACACTTGGGAGACAGACAGATCTCTTGAGTTTGAGGACAGCCTGGTCTACAGAGCAAGTTCCTAGGCAGCCAGGGCTATGTAGAGAAATCCTGTTTCTTTTTTTTTTAAGCCAACAACAACAAAACCATGCAACCATTCTTAATTTGTGAATAGACTTCAAGGAGGCATCAGTGCAAAATAACTGAATTATTGACCCACAAAAACTGAAAGAAATACTATTTCAAGCGATTAATTGTAGGGAATTTTCCCAGTTTGTGCATGGCTAACAAGGGATTGCACACTGGCACCCAGGGCTGAGGTAGAAGAATTAAGGCACTCCGTGCTCCATAGCAAGTACCAAGCTGTCCAAGGCTATGTAATTCAAACAAGCCTACATGGGAAATTAAGGTAAGAGAAAGGAAAGTTCAGGTCTCGCTTAGGATGCAGAGTGAGTTCAAGGTCAAATTGAGTAAATTGTGTAGCTCAGTGGTACCCTGTCACAAAAAAATAAAATATCTAGATATATGAGAGACAGAAATCAGTGATAGAACACCACCCTCTTAATGTAAGGCCCTCAGTGTAATCCCCAGTACAAGTGTGCTGGTGTTAACTCTCTGTAGTCCTAGCCCAAAACCCTTTGTCTGGGATGATGGGTGTGCACCACCATACAGGGCTAGAACTAGCTCTTGTAGACCAGGCTGACTTCGAACTCACCTGCCTCTGCCTCCCGAGTGCTGGAATTAAAGACGTGTGCCGCCACCACCACCCAGCTCACCCTGCTGTAATTTTCACGTAATGTTGAAAGACTTTTTTCCTTCTAAGGACAGTAACAAAATAATTGTGCCACTTTAGGGGCTGGAGGTAAGACAGGTGTACTACTACAGGTGTTAGACGAG